TCATCACCTCCGCTCTCCCTACTGCAGCAAGTGCCTTTTGGCTGTTACTCCACACAGGTCACAGGTCCCCAGGAACAAACTTTCCTGGGATCAGAAATGGCTCTGGGGAGAGGGGAAAGCTGGGACGATCAGTGATCCTTTCATGGTCCTTACATAGGATCCATCCCCATGAGTGTACTCAATAGGAGTCTGTCATTACAGTTGTCTTGATTCTTCTGTAATTTCTCTGGATTTTGAAAGTAACCTACTGTGAGCATGGTATGAGATGTATGCTAGCAATTCAATCATACATGTATTCCTGGTATAACATCTAGCCCCATTTCATTAAAGACATTGCTTTGTATTTTCTACATACGTTGCATTAAAATTTTGTTAATATTTCAGCGGGTCACTATGTCTTGCCCTTACAGGGTTTAAATAGGGATGAAGACACATGAGCAGCAACCTTCCTAAATCTATAAGTAGGTCTCAGTTTCATCAGTGCCAAATCACTTGGGAACCCTAAGTACATGGTCTTAAGAAAGGCAGGATATTAATACAACAAATAAATGGGTCTTACAGATGCCAGAATTCACTGAGATATCCATGTTAAAATGAACTAATGTGCTTATTGAGGCTCAGCATGTTTGCATATTTGAAAATTCACTAAATGTATTAAGATAAAGTATCCAGTTTTTACAAATGTTGAACTTTTCCTATTCATTGAATTGATTCTGTATTACCATCCCTGTTTCCCTTGAATCTAGATAGCAGGATTATGTGTGGATCGAAAATTCTATAAATTTAAATGCCATAGAGATATAATTTGGACAGTAGTTCTGTTCCATGCTTTCTCATAGTAGTGCTGTGGAATTTTAAAGAAACCCGAGTCCTTCTGCATTTCTTTTTCCTGTTTCTCATTGAAAGAGGGAAGACTTTTCACTGACCTGTGGTGACTTTTGTGGACCTAGAGCACTACAGTCCAGTTTTTCTGGACAATATCAGAAGATTATACTGTGCCTTACCTCTCTGTAGCATGCATATATACAGATTGGGCACTGATGAGTTAAAAATGTTAACAGCCATGTTTGTTGTCAGATAATTAAGTCCAGAATAATGAAAACGTGTACTTAGTGAGATTTTTACTACATAAACATGGGTCAATTTGCAACCTAAATCTTTTATTGTGATCCTCAAAACACACCAGTTCCCTTGCCATATCTCCTGGTATTTCCTTCATTGTGCTGAACAGAGTGTTTGCAGCTACAGCTTATCATCGGTGACTTCATTTTTTACAATATGATGTTTTGTCTAAACTTCTTACAGGGGGATCAAGGTAAAGATGGCGTTGCTGGCCCACCAGGTCCTCCTGGACAGCCAGGTGCAAGAGGGCCTCCTGGAGACACAGGAAAAGATGGCCCAAGGGGACCCCAAGGCCTCCCTGTAAGGAGCAGTTAATAGCAAAAGGAGCTGTTGTAAACTAATATGCATGTGTTGGTAGGGGAAGTATTCTCCTCATGATGCATTTCAGCAAATAATCACCAGAGTGCTCTTTTTTTTAACTGGAAGAATGGCAGATTAATGGTCATTAACTACTGAACAAAGATGATTGAGTTGGGGTGTCTCATCTAAGTTTGTTCTAGGAGATCAAGGTGAAGGTAGTGCTGGTAGCCCACCTGTGTTAGTACTAACTATAAGTCCAAGTATACAAAGCCTAGAGATCAGTAGCTTCATATATTAGAGTTAGTTAATGAATAACACTAATCTACATCCACAGTCACCATAACATTGTTACAGTTCCCTTCTTAAAGCTTCTATTCATCTCCGTTGAGTTTTAGGTTTGTTTTGGAAAATGGATTTTCGAAACTCCTTCTTTGTCCATGATTAAATAATTGAATTTGTCTTTTTCTAGGGTGAGAAAGGAGAAGCTGGAGAAGCAGGTATCAAGGTCAGTAAACAGTCCTTGATATTAAATCTAGCCCTAATGAATTCATTTTCATGTACTAAGCATGGGATGATTGCCTAGTCTAGCTCAGTTGTGTGTGCACCATTTCTGCTTTGTTTTTGCTCTGTGTCCCGCCTGCTTATAATAACTGTTGTTTCTGTTGCCTCTGGTTTAATTTGTTAATCCCTACGACAAAGTACAATACCAATATGTACGCTAAGTTTAAAAACTGGACAACAGTTGTTGGACTTAGAACATTGTGCAGAATGCTGAAACAGTTAGCCTAGTCTGCTTTGATGAGCCAGCTTTCTACACTGCGCTATCAGATTATCTGTCGTTAAAAGGTGAGTCTCTTTTCTCAAAGCTCTTCCATGTTCTCCTCTATCCTGTATTGCTCCATGTTTCAAACATTTTTAATTTGGTATAACTTAACGTGTATTCTTAATGATACGATTCTACATTTCCCCATAACAATGTCAGTGGTAAAATGCAGGGCTTTTTTTGTAGAAAAAGCCCAGCAGGAACTCATTAGCATAATAGGCCACACCCCTGACAGCACAGCTTATTGGCATATTAGGCCACACACCCCATGCCTTCCTTTGGCTTGCCTGGGAGCCCAGGCAAGTCGACCCTTGGACAGGCTGGGGAAGGCACGGGGGTCCACTCTCCAGGCCTTCCCTCTGTAGCCACACATGCAGAGGTTTTGGCTGTAGTGGGTGTGGTCAAGTCTGAAGCCAGCTGGAACTCCGTTCCTGTGCGTTCCTGCCCAAAACTAGCCCTGGTAATATGAATGCCATATCTTTTTGGGACATTGGACCTGGGCCTATCTGACTTTTTCAGTCAGTCAAAACTTTTATTGGCATAGATTGAAAAAGAGGAAACAACATAGGAACCACAGATTTTAAATATACAACAACAGTTGTCCCACCAGAGCTTTCACCTTATATTCTCAAACCCTCATAACAATAGAGAGAAACCTCGCCACTGCAATGGTGATAATGAGGGCAGAGATCTGATAGAAGGAAGGATACTAGTTTCTCTTTCTCCCCTTTTCCCTTCCTTTAACGGGTTCCCAGGCAGACAGCGATTCAACAGGTGCAGCTTTCACGCCGCATGGGAACGCACCATTGGGGAGAGCTGCACCTTGGGATAAAGTGGATTGTCTCCTCCTCTTTGCATTGCTTAACTGCAATCAGGGACTTGGGGAGGGGGATTGCAAATGAGGCTGAGAGTCCAGGCATCTCTATGGTGCCACTATTACACTGATGTGCTACATTTGTTTAGCATTTTAGCGCTCACATTAGAACCTTTTTTTAAAAGGACAAGGAAATTGTGGGGGGGGGGTGAAAACGGGAGTGGAAAGAAAGCAGTGTTGTTTGAAATGGCCAGATTGCTTCAGAGACAGCTCATTAAAGGAAGGAAATTTGCTGTGTGAAACCGCTGTCCCTGTATCGCTTCACTCGGAAGTGGACCAGTGACGGATAACATCCGGGTTAGAAAGGTAATGTGAAAAGGGACACACACACACACAAACAGAGAGAGAAGAGAGAGAGAAGCACGGGAGCCTCTTGTCCATGGTGGAATTCCAGCTCATTAGAAAACTGTTTGAACCTACAACATGGATGAACCTAGGAGTTTTAACTAAATCAGTCTGTACTGCACTCCCTAGTGGTGAGGGATCACACCACAGAGAAATGGTTCTGGCACCACTTATTGTGTGGGGCACCAATTTAATTGATGTTTGATATGTCTCCTGAGGCTTTTTGTTTGTGAAAACAGTAGCTGTTCTCCAGTTTTGCAACTCATAGTTATCCATTCAGTGACTGTGTTCTTTATATTATATATTGATTGAAAATGTGTCAGGACATAAAGGTTTTGTATAATTAATAACGTGGGTGACTTCTAAGTATGGTGGACTCTCAGACTGGCTTAAATTAGTTGGATCAGTTAAATCATGCTTCATACTGGAAAGACTAGATACAGTATTCCAGAGCCACTTAATGCAGTATAAGTATTAATATGACATGGCAAAAATTGTTTCATTTTAAAAAATGTGAAATTACTCCCTCAAAAAAGTAATGTGACATAAAGTCCTACAAAAGTTTAAAATGTGGCGATTTTTACAAGCATCACTGCATTCATAAGATACACTAAAAATGGCAATTTGTAATGTTTCCTCCCACATTAGAATAGTCGTGAATGTTAAGAAAATATGATTGTTTTCTATATTACATTATATATTACAAATTACAAATTCACACAGCCTATAAACTGGAAGTGCTATTTATATATACAAAAAGGAAGCAGGCATTCATGTAACTCCCACTATGTCCATGTGGCATACAGCTAGGGGTGGGCACAAGCTGGTTCACGAGCCAAAATTCAACACAAACGTGGCCTGGTTAGGAGTCCCCAAACCAATGTTCAGGGAAGGTGCCTTCCCTGAACATTACCAGACTTTTGCCCAGTTCAGTTCAGCTTTTCAAGCCATTTAAACCTAACAGCTGAGCAGCGTGGGTCTGCAGCTGACCTGTTAGGTTTAAATGGCTGCCAGCCATTTCAGCCTATCAGCAGATGGGCACACCTGCCCCGCTGTTAGGCTGAAATGGCTGAAAGCTATTTCACCAGTGGGTTTCACTTGGAAGCGGGGGGAAGCAAAACCAACTGTCAACCATTCTGCCCATCAGTTGTTAGGTTTATATGACAGCCAGCTATTAAACCCGTCCATTTTACTCCCCCACTTCAAAGTGTGGGGAGATGAAACAGGTGGGCTAAATGGCTGCCAGGCATTAAACCCTTCCCAGGCAATTCCCCCCCCCTTCTCCATGGCCAGTAGAAATGGGGAACTAAACTGGCCGGTTCGGGCCATTTTTGGCTTGCTTCAGTTTGGGAACCAGCCTAAACCAGAATTTTTAGGTTTGTGCCCATCCCTACGTACAGCATCTATATTTGAATGAAGAACAACCCAATTCCCATGATTCTTTCACCTCTTTGTTGAGATAGAAGGATCACAGCATTTGTGTTTGTTAAATGGGAATGTGTGCAGGCCACAAAAAAGTAGTTAAGCATCAAATTGCTATGATGTTTGCTTGAAATGTTTCATGTACACATGTGCTCTTTCTTAGAGAAACGAAAACAATTCAACTGAAATGCATCAGGTACAAGGCACAGCAACTTTGAAAGCTTAGCAGTGCCATCCTGAGCAGAGTTACACCATTTGAAGTCAATGGGCTTGTGTGTGTCATCATTTATCCTGACTTATGGGAACCCTATGAATCAGTGACCTCCAAAACATCCTACTGTTAACAGCCTTGCTCAGGGCTTGCAAACTGAGGGCTGTGGCTTCCTGCTTACGATGACATAGGAAGCCAATAAATACTCATATTTGTGTAGCACCTTTTTGAGGTCTGTCTCCATGAAGTAAGCAATGTCCAAGCTGGAACACTGCTAGTTATGACCCCCATTTCCCAGCAGCCATTTGCAAGACTACAGCAAAAAAATAAAAATTCAACAGCCATTCTCACATGAGTCATCGCTACAAACCACTGATTATATCCATGGATATACTGGATGAAACATTTATCCTTCTTCACGTGTCCCCAGGGCTGTTCCACATGGAATGGGTTGCTGGCATATGACATGGCCCTCCAAGTAGTGAACGTCAGTGCCATATTTCCTCAAGGCAGCTGAGTGTATACAGATGCATGTGTGTTTTTTTGAGCTGTGTTAGCGAGTTAAAGATCTTGCTGCCTTAATGGACCTTATAAAGGCTACCAAGTATTTGTGGCCGAGATGGAAGGCACTTTATGACTAATGCATACTACTCAGTCATAACCAAACACAACATATGGCTACAAGATTTCATAAACATATTAAACTTTATTACATTCCATTGAAAAGGAGCAACACCTCCTTGATGTAGGTACATTGTAAACAAAGTGGCACTGAGCTAACTGACTAGATCTCATTTTAATAATAAAAAAATTGTAGAACTATAGAATCATAGAGTTGGAAGGGATCTCCAAGGTCATCTAGACCAACCCCCTGCACAATGCCAGAAATTCACAACTACCTCCCCCCCCACACACACACACACTCACTGCTGTTCCACACCCAGAAGATGACGGAAAAAACCTCCAGGATCTCCAGTCAAATTGGCCTGGAGAAAAATTGCTTTCTGACCCCAACATGGTGATCATCATTTCCCTGGGCACGTAAGAAAGGGCCACGAGAACTAAGTACTGAGGCAATCCTTCCAGCCCTCCCTCTCATGATCTGCCTAATTTCACAGAATCAGCATTGCTGTCAGATGGCCATCTAGCCTCTGTTTGAAAACCTCCAAAGAAGTCTGCCCCAAATTCTGACTTAGGGCCAGTTTGACTTTTTGGGCGGTGCCAGGCTTGCAGAGTGCCTAGCTGAGCTCTCACCCTTGACCTCAGCAAATATAATGCACTTTTGTATTTCAGTGTCACCAATGTATGTTCTGTTTCATCAGGGTGATGCTGGAATCCCAGGAGAACCAGGGATTCAAGGGCTAAAGGTAAACTTCACTTCTGTGCCTTATTTGATTTTTAATTGTTGTTTTTTGACATAGTGCAAAGCACTAAAGCAGAATCAATGCAATGTTTCTGTCAGTGAATGAAAGACAAATGTTTAATAGGATACAGTTCAGAAAACACAAATAAGAAGATCCCCATGGAACCGTGACATACTTATAGTGTTCAGTTGAGAATCTAAATACATTTGGTGATTGAGAGTCATGAAGCAGTACTGATAATCTAGAACTGATTATTTACAGCAATTAAAAACTAGTCGGGACTGCTTCAATAAAAAGGTAGCTTTTTTAAGGACTTAAGAGACTGAGTTTCATTGTAATTCGTGTTACTTTCAGGGAGAACAAGGAAGTGTTGGGCCAAATGGAGAAAAAGGTACAGATGGGCTCCCAGGGCTACGGGTAAGCATTCATGGAACACAATATTTTGAACAGCAAAAGAAACTGCAAGTTTTTCTTGAACCTCTTTCCTGAACCTTTTCCAACTGCTACAGGGAGAACAAGGAAGTATTGGCCCAAAGGGAGAGAAAGGCATAGATGGCCTTCCAGGACCACCGGTAAGTATCTTGCAGACCGATATTAAGAGAAGTAGAAGTGCTGCCAAAGAAACTCCTTGCACCTCTTTCCTTGAACCTTTTCCAACTGCTACAGGGAGAACAAGGAACTATTGGCCCAAAGGGAGAGAAAGGCAAATATGGGCTTCCAGGGTCACAGGTAGGTATTACGCTCAGCAGTACTAAAATCCTGCTTAGGAACTTTCCTTGAACTTCTTTCATTATAATTCTTTCACTACAGGGAGAACAAGTAAGTATTGGCCCAAAGGGGGAGAGAGGCATAGATGGGCATCCAGGACCACAAGTAGGTATTGTAAAATCCCTGCTTAGGAACGTTCGTTGAACGTCTTTCATTAAACTTCTTTTAACTGCTATAGGGAGAACAAGGAAGTGTTGGGCCAAAGGGGGAGAAAGGCATAGATGGGCTTCCAGGGCCACAGGTAGGTATCATACTCAGCAGTACTAACAGCAGTACAACCCCTGCTTAGGAACTTTCCTTGAACTTCTTTCATTAAACTTCTTTCGCTACAGGGAGAGCAAGGAAGTATTGGCCCAAAGGGAGAGAGAGGCATAGATGGGCTTCCAGGGCCACAGGTAGGTATTGTACTTACGAGTACAATGTGTGTGTGTGTGTTAGTTAAGTGCCATCAGGTCACCTCCAACCTATGAATTCAATGTCCTCCAAAACGTCCTATCATTAACAGCCTTGCTCAGGTCTTGCAAACTGAGGGCCATGGCTTCCTTTATAGAGTCAGTCCATCTCATGTTGGGTCTTCCTCTTTTCCTGTTGCCTTCAACTTCTTCTAGCATTATTGCTTTTTCCAGTGCCTCTTGTCTTCTCATAAGTACGTAGCCTCAGTTTAGTCATTTTACCTTTAGGCAAGAGTTCAGACTTGATTTGATCTAGAACCCACTTATTTGTCTTTTGGGGCAATCCATGGTATCCATAAAACTCTCCTCCAACCCCACATTTCAAAAGAATAAACTTTCTTCCTATCAGCTTTCTTCATTGTCCAGTTTTCACACCCATACGTAGTAATAGGGAATTTTTGTTGTTCCATTGCACAGTTGAGTCTGACCCCATGGACCACATCATGTCAGGCCGTCCTGTCTTCCGCCGTCCTCTGGAGTTTGCTTAATTTCATGTTCATTGCATCGATAACACTGTCTAAACATCTCATCCTTTGCCATCCCCTTCTTCTTTGACCTTCAGTCATTCCCAGTATCAGGGTCTTCTCCAGTGAGTGCTTCCTTCTCATTTGGTGGCCAAAGTATTTGAGCTTCAGCTTCAGTATCTGGCCTTCCAGGGGACAGTCAGGGTTGATTTCCTTTAGGATTGACTGATTTGATCTCCTTGCAGTCCAAGGGACTCTCAAGAGTCTTCTCCAGCACCATGAATTAATTTGATCTTGGTCGCCAGAAATAAATCCATACACTTAAGGATCTTTTCTAACTCTTTTAAGGCTGCCCTTCCCAGTCTCAGGCTCCTAGTGATTTCTTGGATGCGGTCTCCCTTTTGGTTGATGATGGAGCCAAGGAATAGAACATCTTTAGCAATTTCAATTTCTTCATCAGCTTTAAAGTTCTGTAACCTCACAGTAATCATTACTTTTGTCTTCTTGATGTTCAGTTGTAATCCTGCTTTGCCACCTTCTGCTCTCACCTTCATCAGTAGTCATTTCTGTTGGAGTGAGCAACTCAGTATGCAAGGAAATTGGGGGATGCTACATCACCCTAAGTGTGTATAGGTGTGATCTCCTTGATTGAGATGCCTCTCTTTGTCTTAACCTGGGAGCTGCCATCCGACCCCTCTTCCCTCTGATGAACCACCGCCAGACAACCATAACTACAGAGCTGCCGTAGGCAAGCTTCTATACTTAGTGATGACAAGATGACCTGACATTGCAACAGCTGTAAGTACATTATCCAGAAGGGTTAGCACACCCACCATAAAGGATTGGACTGCAGTTAAAAGGGTGATGAGGTACTTAAAGGATGCTGCACACTTTAAACTGAGACTGCCAGCACCTAACAATTCCACTGTATTGGGAAATGCTGATGCAGACTGGACTGGAGAAAGATCAGACCTAAGATCCACTAGCAGTTATGTATTTTTCTATGTGGGTGGTGCTATAAGTTGGGCAAGTCATAAACAAGAAATTGTTGCCCTCTCAGGCAAGTTGTCAAGTGACGCTACTGTCCCACTGAGAAAATGACTGCAGACATATTTACCAAACCGCTACCAAGAGACAAAATACCAAGGCCTGCAGAAGAACCTGAACACTGTAAACCTTGGCAGCATACAGAGTCAAGAGGGAGTGTTGGAGTGAGCAACTCAGCATGCAAGGACATTGTGGGACATTACATTACTCTAAGTGTGTACAGGTGTTATCTTCTTGAATGAAATGCCTCTCTTTCTCTTAACCTGAGAGCTGCTCTCCTCTCTTTTCTCTCTCTCTCTCTCTGTCTTTCTCTCTCTCACACATACACACACCTCATATGGCCTTCCATGGAGACACATGTCTCTGCAGGTCCCTCCTGTAGATAACAATGCCCTCATACTCCCACACACATGATGCCAGTCAAGGTGGCCATTTGTGATAGGGAATGTACTCTTTAGATTAGGCTTCTTTCTCTTTTTTTCACTGCACCCTGAATGTGAACTGGATCTACAAGAATAATATAAATGTATCTTTTTCCCAATGTAATTCTTGAGAGATTTATTTACTGCACTCAATATCACGCTTCTATGACTGGCCAAACTCTGCTATATTAACCAAATATCCCAATAGTTTCAAGTCTTCACCATCTTCTACCAGTAATGTGGTGTCATCTGCATATCTCAAATTGTTAATGTTCCTTCCACCAATTTCCACTTCACCTTCATCTAAATCTAATTCAGCTTCCCTTATGATACTCAATTAAGAAGGGATAAGGAGATAAAATACATCCTTGTCTAACCCCTTTGCCAGTTGGAAACCATTCTGTTTCTCCATATTCTGTCCTAACAGTAGCCTCTTGTATGGAGTACAGGTTGTACATCAAAATAATCAGATGCAGTGGCACACTCATTTCTTTTAAAACCAACCATAGCTTTTCATGATCCACATAATCAGAAGCATTGCTGTAAACTTCTTATCTTTTGAATTCTGTTCTTTTTTAAAATACTTGTATTTTTAAAGTTTTTATCTAATTATTTCCAATTTAACGGCTGTGTACCTAGAGTATGGTATCCAACTATGTTTTTAACTGATTTATGCTGGTTACATACCAAAAAAAATTCTAACTAAGCTGTAATCTATGAAACACAAGCTGATTTTCTTCTGAAATTCTCTCATATACTCCAGTAACCAGCGTAAATTTGCAACGTAAATTTCTCTAGTGCCTCTTCCTTTTCTGAATCTAGCTTGAGCATCTGGCATTTCTCATTCCATATATGGTAACAGTCTTTTTTGTAAGATGTTGAGCATCACTTTACTTGTGTGAGAAATTAATGGGATGGTCCAATAGTTGCTGCAGTCTTTGAAGTCTCCTTTTTTTGGAACTGGAATGTAAATTGAGTGTTTTAAGTATGTGATCCATTGTTTTGCTTTCCATATTTGTTGGGACAATCTTGTTAACAGTTTGATGGACTCAGTTTCTGTGGCTTGGAATAGCTCTATTGATTTTCCATCTACTCCTGTTGATTTGCTTCTCCTAATTGCTTTTAGTTCAGTTTTCACTTCACTTTCTAAAACTGTAGTTTCTTCTTCAAAAGATTCTTCTTGTTAGTACTTTGCATTTCTGAAAGTAGTAAAATCCCTGTTTATAAATGTTCTTTGATCTTAAACATCTTTTAACTGGTATAGGGGAACAAAAAAATGTTGGGCCAAAAGGGGAGAAAGGCATAGATGGACTTCCGGGGCCACAGGTAGGTATCGTACTCACCAATAGTAAGAATAGTAAGATTCCTGCTTAGGAGCTTCCCTTGAACTTCTTTCATTAAATGTGCAGGCAGCTTAATCCATATAATTTCCTCATAAGGGATTGGGGGAGCGAAAACCTACAAAATGGGCCCAGCCATGGGTATACAGCTTTTAGGTTAGAATCTAGTTTCACAGTGTCGTTATACTGATAAGCAATAAGTCTAATCAAAGTCTAGAAATCCTTGGTTTTCTGAAACCACAGCTGGACTGGCTTCAAACTGATATCCCATACCTAGGAAAAGTTAACCTTGCAGCAGTTACTAGACTCAATGTAATAACTCTAAATTTCTTAGGAGTCATAGCAATATAGTTCAGTAGCAACATCTCTGGCTTGAATGGAACTGACAAAGCAGTTCTGAATCCTTCCCCTTTTACCACCTATCACTAATCCCCAAAATGTATTTTAGGTGTGTTTTAAGAGTTTAATCTTTGTGATTTCACAGCAATACACTCGAGCATAATACTCAATTAAGAAACTAGTACAAAGGTTTGAGATAATTTAGGGTTGCCAACTCTATGTTGGAAAATTTCTGGAGATTTGTGGCTAGAGCCTGGGGAGATCAGGGTTTAGGGAGGGGAGGGACTTCAGTGGGGTATAATGTCACGGAGTACACCTTCCAAAGCAGCCATTTTCACCAGGGGAACTGATAGCTGGAGATCAGTTGTAATTCTGGGGATCTCCAGGCCCCACCTGTAGGTTGGCAACTCTAAACATTCCCAAGGAAAGATCACAGTGCCGCATAAGACCAGGGCAGCATGCCTTGCCAACTGTGCTCCTGAGCCAGGTAAGGACAGTGTCATCCAACACCATGACATTTACTGGATACTCATTGCAGAATCTTCTAGAAACTGTTTTGAAAAATGTTCTTTTTTTAACTTTCTGGAAAGGATGAAAAACTTCACTTTTTCAGAGGATATTAATCTTGCTTAAACTTTGAATTTGTTTTTGGATTTGTATTTTGCTGCTGTTTTATACATTTGCTAGGAATAAGGCCCGTTGTGGAAATAAATACAACGAGCTCTAGAAAGAGGCTCAGGGAGAGTGCCCCACCTTGAGCTCTCAGTGTCAATTTGCTGTGGCGACCTCAGCAAGGTATACTGACAGAGAGTCCACCAGGGGAACTGATCTCTGCCACCTGAAGAGCAGTTGTAATTCTGAGTGATCTCCAGCCCTCACTTGGAGACTGGCAACAATGGTTCCACAGGAGGAAAAGTACAGTCTTTCTCTGTAATGGGGACAAAAGCAGCTTACATCATTCTCCTCTCCCCCTTTTGATCTGCACAACAACCATGTGAGGTAGGTTAGGCTGAAAGTCTGTGACTGGTCTGAAATCACCAACTCAGCTTCCACAGCAAGAACCTGGGTCTGGCAGACCCTACTCTGAAGTGCTAACTGCTACGCCACACTGCTTTGGTGTTGCCTGGTATCACAACTGAACTCCAGACAGCAGATCTCTGTCTCCCACTGGAGAAAATAACTACTTTGGAGGGTGGCCTCTATGGCATTCTGTTCAGCTGAGGCCACTCCCCTCCCTAAACTCTGGCTTCCATCGACTCTGCCACAAAATCTTCAGGAATTTCTCAACCTGGAACTGGCAACCCTAGTCAAGACTGGCCCCAATGAGTTTTCTCCCAAAGGCCAAAATAGGCATGGAAAGGGTCTTTTACTGACAGAACCAAGCTTGGTTGCCTAGCAACAGGCACTGAGTGGAAAGTAGGGTTGCCAGCTCTGAGTAGGGAAATACCTGGAGATTTGGGGTGTGGATCCTTTTGAGGGCAGCGTTTGGGGAGGGGAAGGACTCAGCAGGGTATAACGCCATAGGGCCATTTTCTCCAGGGGAACTGATATCTGTCATCTGGAGATCAATTGTAACAGCAGGAGATCTCCAGGTCCCACCTGGAGACTGGCAACCCTAGGGGAAAGTCAGCCACACAGCAGGAGGTTGAATGGCTTGACAGCTGCTGGCCCACGCCAGTAGCCAGCCAGCCATGGAGGAGACAAGCAGGAGAGACAGCTGTTTTGGCAGTTTATTCTGTCAGCGAAGTGGCCAAGCTGGCAGTGGGCGGGGAAGAAGAGAGGACCCAGCACTCAGCCAATGGCACATGAGTACTCTTGAGTGGCGGTTGACTAGCCAATGGCTGGTGGAGCACACAGCACAACCAATGGGAGAGCCAGAAAGTGCCAATACGTAGGGCAATTATATATAGGATTAATTTTATTTAATTTTATTTTCAGACTGTTTTGAATGCACAGAACAGCAGTGTATAAATGTTTTATGTGTTTACTCATATTATTTTACAAGACCTGTATACCTTTGTTCAGATCACAACAAATATTAAAAACAATTAAACCATGAAATCATAAAGCATCATAAAATCAAGAGAAGCAGCACAAGGATAAGCAACATAAAAATGGTTCACATCTCACAATCTAATATTAAATGTTCAAATAAAAAATATAGTCATAATTAGGGGCGGGGAAAAAAAATTCGGCCAATTCGGATTCCGACGAATCATGCAGAATCAATTTTAGCTGGCAGTAAGACTCCCGCATGTCAGTTTCGTCAGTAGAAGCTGATTTGGGAGTCTTTTGGCCAGCCAAATGTCAATTTCAGCCCCATTATATCCTATGGGCCATTGAAGTAAATGGCGAAAACGTTGGGTATATTCTGGGGGCTGGAGGGAAGAGGGTTTGAGGGTAGCTGCTGGAGCCTCTCCCCAAGATACCCACCAAGTTTCAAGAACATTGGACAGGGGGTCCAATTCTACGGGCCCCAAAACAGGTTGCCCCCATCCCCTCCATTGTTCTCTATGGTGGGGAGAAAGTTTCTTTTTCCCCATGGTGCTGTTAGTGGCTGGGGGGGGGTTGAGGGAGAGACTCCAAATTTTCAGGGTAGCTTCGGGAGCCTCTCCCCAAATGAACCCCCATGTCCCAAAGCAATTGGACCAGTGGGCTCAATTCTATGGGCACCTAAACAGGTTACCCCATGCATGTAGCAATTGGCTGAATCTGCCCCCTCCCCCATTGATCTTTTTGGGGTTTCTGTGTGGCAATTCGGCAGCAAGCCGATTCAGATCAGAGAACCTGAATCGGCCCACAGCAGCCCGAAAGGGGCCCGAATGAACCGAGTACACATCCCTAGTCATAACCTGCTCCTATGAGGAACTAAGGAGGGACAAGCAGACTCCATGTAGCAGCGAGTTCCACAACATTAGGGCAACTATTAAGAAGATTGTCATCTTGACAGTCTTACTTCTACCTGAGATGGCCTCATTGGCAGATCACAGAGAGTGAGAAGATTCATAAAGAAGTAGGTGTTTTTCATGTACCTTGGACAAAAACAGCATCTTAAGTTATGTCTGTAAATATTTAAGTAAGCAGTGCAGTTCATGGAATAAAGGTGTAATATGTTCACACCCCAACAGTCAGATGGCAGCATTCTGAACCATTTGAAATTTCTGGGTACTTGTTAAGGGCAGCCATTGTAGCAGTCTAACCGGCCTTCTTTATGGGCTCTGTGGAGTCATGCACAGATTCTGTGGATTCTGCACAGAAGCAGCCTTGGAATATTCTAGAACTCCAACCAAAGAATAGGTGAACTCTGAAACTATTTCAAAGACTGTATTGATGGTGAAGTAAGACTTCTTCCAAAACCACTACAGAATAGATGGAAGAATAACCCTTCAAATAGAATCATAGAATTATAGAGTTGGAAGGGACCTCTAGGGTCATCTAGTCCAACCCCCTGCACAATGCAGGAAATTCACAAATACCTCCCCCTCCACATCCGCAATGACCACTGTTCCTCACCCAGGAGATGACAAAAAATCTCCAGGATTGCTTCCTGACCCCAAAGTAGCAATCAGCATTTCCCTGGGTGTGTAAAAAAGGGCCACAAGAACTAAGCACTGAGGCAACCAGTCCTGCCCTCCCTCTCATGATCTGCCTAAATTCACAAAATCTGCATTGCCGTCAGATGGCCATCTATCCTCTGTTTAAAAACCTCCAAAGGAGGAGAGCCCACCACTTCCCGAGGAAGCCTGTTCCACTGAGGAACCACTCTAACTGTCAGGACGTTCTTCCTAATGTTTTGCCGAAAACTCTTCTGATTTAATTTCAACCTGTTGGTTCTGGTATGACCTTCTGGGGCAACAGAAAACAACTCCACACCATCCTCTAGATGACAGCCCTTCAAGTATCACCTCTCAGTCGTCTCCTCTCCAGGCTAAGCATACCCAGCTCCTTCAACTTTTCCGCATAGGACTTGGTCTCCAGACCCCTCACCATCTTCGTTGCTCTCCTCTGGACATGTTCCAGCTTGTTTATATCCTTATTAAATTGTGGTGCCCAAAACTGAATACTCTAGGTGAGGTCTAACCAGAGCAGAGTAAAGGGGTACCATCACATCTCCTGATCTGGACATTTGAGGTCTGTTTGATTAGACTTCGTTTGAGTTGCTTGCCACTTGTTGACCCTCACATTTAATTTCCAGTAACTTCTCAGAATATCAGAGGTCACTTTATTTCTACAGTTTTATACGCAAACATGTTAACTGCTTGACAGTCAGCTAATGGTTTCCTGAGGATATCCTGGGAGTCTTTTGGATCCAGTAGCCAACAGAGGTGGACCATCTTGATAGGTTCCCCATACTTGCAGAGATTAGGAATATGTATAAATAAATACATTAAATCAAACTCTTCTTCAATGTCCTTTTTGAGAAGGGATTACGAATGATGCATTTCCAGCTCTACATTAATGTCTTTATATATTATATGCAATATAGACAGTGAAATCTCAGCACATCCATGGATTGCACCATGAGTCCACCTTCATAATTAAATTGACAGATTAATATGCCAGCAAACTGAACAGTTTTTCAAGCCTTCTTGACTCAAGCAAACAGCCTATGGTATGCTTTGTTAATTTTCCTCAGTGAAAGAGAAGGTGGAGATCACAGCAGGTCAACAGGAAGATACCCTGAAGCAATATTCAGTTCATTGGTGTGCTTGTTGGTGACTTCTGTTATGAAGACAGGAAGATCCAGCTGTGAACACTCATTGAATTTCACATCTATCTTCACACTAAGATGCAACTTTTTAGCACTGGTTCCATAATTGTTCATGAGCCTTAGCCTAGAAATAAGATAATTATAGCAAAAAGGGGGGAGATAGCTTTGTTTATGCAAAGCCAATTTAACCAATTTGCTACTCTTTTATTATTAGTCTGTGCTTCATGGAATTTGCATCCAACCATACATCACTCTTTGATGTATCATGGCTTTTTTGTGCATGAGAAAGTCCTCAAGTGTTCTCCTTCCAAAATGTGATGAAAATCATGATTTGTAATGCTGATGTGCCAGATGTTGGATTGTTAGTTGGGGGGGTGTGTGTTTGTTTTTAATATTTGCCATGTTAATTTTATAGTTATTGAAAAGTGGCTTGGCTTTTTAGCAATGTAGTGTTTGTAATGTTAGAAGGGTCCCAACTGTCTGCAGGAGGTTTTAGTGCCTTGTATCGGATTTGGCTGACGTCGCTAAATTGTTTTAAATCTTTATAAGCTGCTGCTGCTTGTGTAGTGCTCCTGAAGTCACATTGCATATTGATATTACTGTTGTTGAATTAATAAACATTGCTTGCTTTCAGGGGGAACCTGGTGAAAGGGGAGCAGATGGACACATTGGGCCAAGGGTATGGATTTTTTTCATCCTTTAACTCACTGAAGTATATACTCAGTCCTTAAGGAACTTTATTAGTTTTATGTCATTAGGATGGTGCTGAGAAAAATGTATGCTTTATTATACAGGGAAGACAGCAGTAGATTGCATTAGATAAATCTTTGAACATTTGCTGTCAGACCAGCTCAACTGACAGCCATATAAATATTCAGCAGAAAATTATTTCATGGGAATCGGTCTTCTTTGACTTTTGTTTGAAGACATATAGTTGGGGATGGATAGTGGTGGTGGTGGTGGTGGGAAGTGCTGTCGAGTCACAACTGATACGGCAACCCTGTAGGGTTTTCAAGGCAAGGGACGTTCCGAGGTGGTTTGCTGTTGCCTTCCTCAGCATAGTGATCCTGGACTTCCTATGTGGTCTCCCTTCCAAATACTAACCAGGGCCAACCCTACATAGCTTCCAAGGTCTGACGAGATCAGACTAGCCTAGGCTATCGAGGTCATGGCAGGGATGTATACTAGTGATCAATACTCCCTCTAAACTGTGAAGTCTTGTGAGCAAAAATTCTACTTTGTGTGCTACTGGCATTAAAGTTGTGAGTGAGTGATTTGGCTGCTACATAAATTAGTTTGCTCTGGAGCCATCCTTCCTGAGCTAAGACAAAAATGTGTTGAAAGAACTCCCGAAATTTGGGATTGGATAAAAAAGTTACTTTTCATGGTTGAAATGGATAAAATGACAAGAAAGCTTAAGAACCTGGAAGCAGAAGAATTTTTTGCAGATTGGAAAGACTTTAAGGAATACTTAGAGAAATATTGGAATGTAAGAAACAACTTATCTTGCTTTGGTAACTATTGAAAAAAAAGAAAGAATGATATTTAGATTAAGCTTAAATGTATAAGAACAATAGATAAAAGATATGTTACCTGTAGAATTCGATTAACGAGTAAGGGAGGAAAAAGGGGAATATAAGATGTGGGCTGGAGGTTGGAGCACTGTGGGAAGCCAGAAGGGGTGAGTAGTTAGAAGAAAAGGATATATGACAGCTGGTAAAGTGATGTATGTTTGACTTATTAATATATCCTAATAAAATTCTCTTTAAAAAAAATGTGTGAGCTGGAGGCTAAAAAACTGTGAGCTAGCTCACACTAACTCAGCTTAGAGGGGACACTGCTAGTGATGGCTATTTGACAGGCTGTTGAGAATCCTTAATGACACTTTGTGTGACTAGTCATTATCTTTCAAATGTTTGGACACCGAGAATCCTTTCATAGTAAAGGAGCAGCTCTAAAATCTCATATCGTGATATAGATCCGGGTGGGCAGCCGTGTTGGTCTGAAGCAGTGGAACAAAGTTTGAGTCCAGTGGGGCCCCTTTAAGACCAACAAAGTTTAGATCAAGGTATGAGCTTTCGTGTGCACGCACAGTTCCTCAGACAAAAAGGATACATTTAGACATCTATTGCCAATTTTGACATATTTATTTGCCTCACTGTTTCCCCCCGGAATTAAATCCAAACAATGATAACCTTATAAACAGCTTATTATTCCTGTTTGCATCTGTTAAAACGTTTCATTATGTTGTATGCCGATTTGCTCTTCAGCCTCTGCCTTATATGTGTGGACCGTTAACTTCCATTTCAGTGTATCTGAAGAAGTGTGTGTGCACACAAAAGCTCATACCTTGAAGGAAACTATTGGTCTTAAAGATGCCGTTAGACTCAAACTTTGTTCTGTGTCTTGGTATAGATCCAATGACTTCAGTGAGACTTGTCTATAGCAGTGTAGATGTTGCATGGCTCTTCCTCCAATGGATAATAATAATAATTTGATTGGTAGAATTAATTTGGCTTTTTAAAAGCATATGAAAAACAGTACATTTTGTCTTCACCTCAGTATTATTAATTACTTTTCTTTGCTTCCCCCCCCCTTTTAATTTAACAGGGCCCTCCAGGCATGAAAGGAGAACAGGGTGATACTGTAGTAATTGACTATGATGGCAGAATCTTGGAAGCTCTCAAGGTAACTTCTGTGCTATAATGTAATAGTGCCACTTCTGATAGAGTGAATTGATCGACCACGATTTGTATACAGCCAACTTGGGGGGGGTTTGTTGTTTGTTCGGGGTCCAAAGAATCCATTTGCATGTATGAAAAGGAACTGCACCTGCACACTGATATTTTTGTGACAGTCATACAGCTAGTGAGGAAGGCTGCTTGTCAGCAGTGAAGGAGAATCAGTGGCAAAGGACCTTGAAACAAGAAAGATGGAGACAGAATAGCAGTACAGGAGGAAATGATACCTGGTGGTTCTGTAATGAAGTGAGGTTCAGATGTGGTGTTTTCTGTACTGTCTGTACCAGACTAGTGCAGTTGTTCTTCTGGTGCTATGTCTCCATATCTTGATCCCTATGTTGGTTCCATATGAGTGAAAACTAGTGAACAACAGCAATAACAAAACCCTTCACTGTTCATCGTACTGACAGCCAAACTGTCTCTAGCAGCAGCTGCAGACAGCTGCTGGAACAACTGCAGGCAAGTTCAGGGACATCTGGAGAACCTTTCAAGGGAGAATCAGGTATGGTTCAGTTATGGCTGCCTGTATTTTTTACACTACGATGTGTGTTATGTGGACAAACAGCTCCTCCAAGTGACTCACAAATGAATTATCAGGTAGTTGTTCTCTAACAATTTGCAACTTCAGTCTATGAATGAAGACTGTCAAGAAATTGATAGCAGTATGGGTGAGGAGACATTTAACCACATTCTCTGCAGATACAATTGTCTAAATGGTATTCTTTTTCTATTGAGAAAAGATCATGTTTTAATCTTCCCATTTTAGCTAATGTCAAAACAGTTGAGCAGCATAAATATTCAGTTCCAGATGCAAATGAAAACCACCCTAATTGTTTTATAACAGGCTGCAGGGAAACTCAAATTGACGGTAATTGCTGTATGCCAGATGCCTGCTTGAATTGGTTTGTCAGAATGGCCTAGCATGCAGTTGGGTGCTTTGAATTTTTGTATGTGAGATCTTTAGAAAGTTTTGCCAAACATTTGGTTTGTATTAATGAAATAGTGACTGATAATCCCTGAGCCTGTATCCCCTTGCCCCACGTGATTGATGTATGTCAAGCATACTGATGATGAAACCACGAATGTTTTATTTGCTTTTTTTGTACAGTTCCTCTGGCTTATTAAATCTCAAAATTGATGCTGCAATAATTTGTTTTCTGTATAAACTCATTGGGCATAATTTGAGCACATGCTTAACTCTTCCACTGAAATCAGTAAGAGATAGATTATGCCCATTGCTGTTACCTTGGGATAATGGAGCTACAAAGGGGTGTTCTCTCTTTGCAGTGCCTTGAATGTATGTTATGGGAGAGAGTAGCCATACACTTTCAGTTTGGGGCTTGGGGGTGGGATTGAATTATTTGCACCTGCATTATTCTTGGTTTGCAAATCATGAGGTTTTTTTTTTAACAATTAGATCCTGGCTACACACTCAGTTCATCATGTGAAAAATAGCCAAGTAAGCCAGGTTCTGATTGGCACAAGTTCTGACAGCTTCCCCAAAGACAGGTGGAGAAGGCTGGAGGGGGTTATAGAGATCCTGGCTGCTTTTCTGCATTGTTTAGCTGGGATTATTTTATTGCTTCTTAGCACCTAATAGTCCCTGCTCCCCCACCCATCCAACACCCCAAGTAGCATTGTCGCTGTCTTAAAAACTTTACTGTTTGATCATTAGAAGATGAGATGATGCATTGTTATTTCAGAAATTTAATCTAGCTTTTAAACAACAATGCATAGATAACTTATTTTCCTTTGTTCTAGGGGCCACCAGGTCCTCAAGGGCCACCGGGTCCTCAAGGTTCCCCAGGACCAAAGGTTGGATTTTGTTCCCTTTACACAAAATGCATATTGCTCTGTACCGTCTACTGTATGTGACGGCACTGCAGTTAGTTCATATGCAATTTTTTTGTTAATGGTATTTGCTTTTGAAGAAGTATGGAGATCAGAGTTGTGGGTAGTGAATATCAAGTTTCAAAGATTAACAAGAAGCAAGTTATTAGATTCTTAAATACTGCAGCCATTAATACGTCTTGTTTCTCATTGTAACTTCTTAGGTAGTATGAACTGGGTTTTCTCAGTTAGGTACTTATAGTTTACAAGCAGTCCTCATAACTCTAGAAGTCCGTAGTGATTGTTACAAAGATGCCATGATTTATGCTGAAGAAGCATGAGTACTCAAGTCTAGCAAATTTTATCTTTTTGTGTTTTTGTATTTCCTGGCACACCCTTGGTCAGAATTTAAAGGTAGAACTTCATGTCATTTAGTCTAATTTTCAGTTAGGAATGAATATTGTAATGTGCTATGAATTTAAAGGTAGAACTTCATGTCATTTTGTCTCATTTTCAGTTAGGAATGAATACTGTAATGTGCTATTATATTTGTAGAAGTTCAGAGTATTCTCTGTGGAACAACACAAATTCTGATTGATTCATTAATAGGCAGTCCCAAACAAGAGTTATTTATGCCCTTCCACACCCATTACCTTTAATGGACCTAGAATGGTGTAACTTTGTGTACGATTGCACTGGCAAGTTGCATTTCTGTTAAAATCCCCTACGCTGTTTATGTAGTTTAAACTATTGGTGATGACAGATGTTTAACGCAAGAAGAATGGACAGTTCTTTGAGGCAATGTTATTTTGGGGGGCTGATTCTGGGTTTACTTATCATCCTAATCTATTCTTTATATTTTCCCTTAGGGGGAGCTTGGGTTGCCTGGTCCACCTGGGGTTGATGGTGAGAAGGTATATTTATTTTAATATTAAATAATGTGGATGAAGTTTTATAACAGGAAAGAATTTCTAGGGAATTACTAAAGTAGTGTAAATCATTTCATTTTTAATATCAAGTATGGACACATTAATAATTTTGCAAATATTTTCTTCAGCTCGTCTTCTCTCTTCCTCTGTTGTCTTTTATATAACACTTGTTATCTAGTTATTCCATCAGGCATTTTGAATTTATGTAGCAAAATTTGTATCTTACCATGTTCACATGAATATTCTGAATCTAAATACAAACTTGTCTCCCATTGTAGAAGTTTCCACATTTATGGGTACTTGCTGAATAAGAGTACCTAGGCCACTGGAACTAATTCACAGAGAATTAAATTATTATTTATTATTTATTTGTTTGTTTACACAGTTTATACCCCACCTTTCTACCCTCATCAATGTTTCCTCTAAGCTATGGAGCCCTGTGAGCAAAAATGCTACTTTGTGAGCTATTGGCATTAAAGTTGTGAGCGGGAGATTTGGCTGCTGCATCAATTAGTTTGCTCTGGAGCCCTCCTTCCTGAGCTGAGACAAAAATGTGTGAGCCGGAGGCTAAAAAACGGTGACCTAGCTCACACTAACTCAGCTTAGAGGGAACACTGACCCTCATCAGGGCCATCAAGATGGCTAACACATTAACAATATACATAATAAAACACATCTTAAAAACCATTAAAACCAAACCAAAACACATCATTAAAACAAATAAAGCCTAGCTAAAATGTACATATAAAAGCATAAAAACAACAATTAATACATAGGGTAGGAAGGTGGGGACATCACTGAAGAAATGCTGGATGAAACAGAAAAGTCTCCACCTGTTGGTGGAAGACAGTAACAGAAGGGGACAAGCAAATCTGCCAAGGGGAGTTCCAGTGTTTTAGTGCCCCTACTGAGAAGGCCCTCTCCCAGATTGCCACCTGCCTAATTTCAGAAGGCGGGGGCACCCGAAGCAGGCCTTCCAAAGATGGCTGCAGTGATGGGGTAGGTTCATAAGGCAGTAGGTAGTCTTTCAGGTATGCTGATGCAAACAATATAGGCAGGGGTCATTTTGTAGAAAAAGAGGTGCAGGAGCTCATTAGCATAACTTATTTGCATATGCCACACACCCTGATATCACCAGAAGTGTGTCAGAAGGCAACCCCCGCCGCTCAGGCTTCACTGGACTGTTTTGGATTGCTAGCTATTGGGGGGGGAACACACATCTGCCCTCGCAGAGGACGGAGAGCTTGTACCTGAATAAACCTTGGTCTTAAAGGTGCCATTGGACTGTTATGGATTGCTAGCTATGGGGGGGGGAGAACGCACAGATCTGCCCTCACAGAGGAGGGAGAGCTTGTACCCAAATAAACCTTGGTCTTGAAGGTACCAGTGGACTTTTTTGGATTGCTAGCTGGGGGGGGGGGAACACGCAGATCTGCCCTCACAGAGGAGGGAGAGCTTATACCTGAATAAACCTTGGTCTTAAAGGTGCCATTGGAGGGCTGTACTAAAAAGAAGGACAGGATTGTCCATTGGAAACAATGGGAGAGACTTGAAGGCCTATTGGAAATAATGGGAGACAGGAACAGTGTTCCCTCTAAGCTGAGTTAGGGTGAGCTAGCTCACAGTTTTTTAGCCTCCGGCTCACACATTTTTGCCTTAGCTCACGAAGGAGGGCTCCAGAGCAAACTAATTTATGCAGTAGACAGAGCACTCGCTCACAACTTTAATGCTAGTCGCTCACAAAGTAGAGTTTTTGCTCACAAGACTCCACAGCTTAGAGGGAACACTCAAGAAGAGTGGCAAAGCAAATGCGGAATGGATTTTCCATTAAGGTCTCTGGTCTCAAATACACTACTCTGGGACTGGAATGACAGGCCCCACAGTGGAATGATAGCTTCTGGGGGTAGCAGATGTGTCTGGGGACTGGAATCACAGGCCCAAGAGTGGAATGACAGCCACTGGGGGTAGCAGATTTGTCCTGGGACTGGAATCACAGGCCCCAGGGTGGAATGACAGCCCCTGGGGGTAGCAGTAGTGTTCTTGGACTGGAATGACAGGCTCCAGAGTGGAATGACGGCTCCTGGGAGTAGCAGGAGAGTTCTGGGATGGGAGTGACAGGCCGCAGAGTGGAATAACAGTCCAGGGGTGTAGGAGATGTGTCCTGAGACTGGAATAACAGGCCACAGAGTGGAATGACAGCCCCTGAGGGTAGCAGCAGTGTTCTGGGACTGGAAAGGCAGGCCCCACAGTGGAATGACAGCCCTTGGGGGGAACAGATGTGTCCTGGGACTGGAATGACAGGCCCCAGAGCGGAATGACAGACCCTGGGGGTAGCAGGAGTGTTCTGGGACCAGGGGTATGCATTCAGCTATAGCCAAGCCAAAAAAATACCCCAAAAACACCCTGTTGGTATACCTGAACCCAAAAAAGCCGTAATTATCTGGGTTTTTTCGGGTTCATTTTATATATTGAAAAACGTCCTATTTAAACCTAACACAGCCTGGGCCGCCAGTCAGCTATTGGGCTTAAATGCCTTTCTTTCCCTCCCCGATGTCGGTCATTCCAGTCTCAGAACACTCCTGCTACCCCCAGGGGCTGTCATTCCACTCTGGGGCCTGTCATTCCAGTCCCAGGACACATCTCCTACACCTCTGGGCTTTCATTCCACTCTGCAGCCTGTCACTCCCATCCCGGAACTCTCTTGCTACCCCCAAGGGCCGTCATTCCACCTTGGGGCCTGTCTTTCCACTCTTAGAAGACTCCTGCTACTCCCAAGGGCTGTCATTCCACTCTGGGGCCTGTGATTCCAGTCCCAGGACACATCTGTTCCCCCCAAGGGCTGTCATTCCAGTCCCAGGACACATCTGCTACCCTCAGGGGCTGTCATTCCACTCTGGGCCCTGTCATTCCAGTCCCAGAACATTCCTG